TGGTAATTTCAATTTCTACGTCGATTCGATACATCCTGGTGAGCTTGAGATAAAAGATACCACAGAGTCCCACACTTTTGTTTCATACTTGGATATTTTACTTGAAAAAGACACTAATGGTAATCTAACAACCAAGCTATATAATAAACGTGATGACTTTAACTTTTCTATCGTCAACTTCCCTTACTTATGCAGCAATATACCTACATCACCTGCATACGGAGTATATATATCTCAGTTGATTCAATATGCAAGAGCATGCTCTACGTATGAACAATTTCTAAAACGAGGTAAATTATTGACAAACAAGTTGATGAAACAATAATATCAACAGTCTCGTTTAAAGTCATCATTTCGTAAGTTCTATGGTTGATACAATGACCTTGTCAGCAAATACAATTTATCATTGAGTCATATGCTGACTGACGTTTTTCATACCAATTGTTAGTCCATTATTTATACACTGAATTAATTGACGACGGATTTTCCGTTATTTCGCGATCATGGCAAGGAGCACACGGCGGGCTTGACCGGTCGGCAGGGGATGCTCACTCCTCCATAGCACCTGATCCCACCTCTGATGTTTCGGGGGTCCGTGTTTGCTCTGCTCCTATTTTGTATTGTTTTATAGACCTTGAGATTGAATACTGTTCGTTATCTCCATATCCTTCCTTGCATAACATCTTCCAATAAAACAGATGCTTTCAAGAGTCTTTGTGGTTCTTTCATTTCTAGTTCTATTAGATGTATTGAAACACCATTCGAAGAGAAATAAATATTATTGATTGATCATATGTCATTGGTATAAACAATGTCAACTGAAGGCAACTACAAAGCACTTCTAACTTCTTCATTTTATGCAATGCTTTTGAATAAGTTCTGCTGCATCAGATACGATAACAGGTCTGCATACAAAGGGAATATGAAATAAATGTCAGCATTTTATAAGTTATATGATCGATACAATGACTTTGTCAGCAAATACAATTTATTATTGAGTCAAATGCTGACTGACGTTTTTCATACCAATTGTTAGGCCATTATTTTTACACTGAATTGACAACGGATTTTTCCGTAATTGCCCGATCACGACAAGAAGCAGAAGGTAGATGTGACCGGTCAGCAGGAGATGCTCACTCCTCCATGCTAACTGATCCCACTTCTGATATTTTGGAGGTCCGAATTTACTCTGCTCCTATTTTATATTGCTTTATGGAATTTTGAGTGAATACTGTTTTTTTTTATCTAAGTATATTTCATGGAGATAACAACAGTATTCAAGCTCAAATGTCCATTAAACATTGCACAATTGAAACATGTCGGAGAACAAACGGGGACCTCCAAAAAATCAGTGGTAGGATCAGGTGCCATAGAGGAAGTAGCATCCCCTGTCGTCCGGTCACATCTCCCATGTGCTTTTTGTCATTATCGGAAAATGACGGGAAATTCGTAGGTGGGTGAATTCGTTTGTAAGAAGAAGGATATGGAGATTACGAACAGTATTCAATCTCAACGTCCATTAAACAATATACAAAATAAGAGCAGAGCAAACACGGACCTCTGAAACATCAGAGGTGGGATCAGGTGCCATGGAGGAGTGAGCATCCCCTGCCGACCGGTCACACCCGCCGTGTGCTCGTTGTCATGATCAGGAAATAACGAAAAAATCCGTCGTCAATTCAGTGTATAATAATGGACTAACAATTGGTATGAAAAACGTCAGTCAGCATATGACTCAATGATAAATTGCATTTGCTGACAAGGTCATTGTATCGACCATAGAATTTACGAAATGATGACATTAAACGAGACTGTTGATATTCTTGTTTCATCAACTTGCTTGTCAATAATTTACCTCGTTTAAGAAATTGTTCATACGTAGAGCAGGCTCTTGCGTATCGAATCAACTGCGATATATATACTCCGTATGCAGGTGATGAAGGTATATTGCTGCTTGAGTAAGGGAAGTTGACGATAGAAAACTTAAAGTCATCACGTTTATCATATAGCTTGGTTGTTAGATTACCATTAGTGTCTTTTTGAAGTAAATAATAGTCTCACAAGAAGCATGAAGTACGTCAGTCAGCATTTGATTTGATGATTGTATTTGCTGATAAGACCATGGTATCGACCAAAGAAGTTACGAATTTATTACTTTAAATGAGACTTCTGATATTTTTGATTCATTAACTTGTTTGTTTGTGTAGTTCACGTCGTTTTAGAAAATGTTCATACGTAGATCATTCTCCGGCTTATCGAATCAACTGATAGATATAAACCCCGCATACAGGACTGTGATAAGGTATATTGCTGCATACGAGAAGTTTGAGGTGGTGACAATTGAAAGTTAAAGTCATCACGTTTATCATAAAGCTTGGTTTTCAGATTTCCATTAGCGTCGTAAGCTATTTCTGGTAAAATATCTAAATATGAACAGATGTTTAAGGAAGCTCTGAACACTGCACATTAAAGAGTTCTATTTATAGGGTCGTTTTATGCAGTTAGAGTGATCTGCCCTTCGAAGTAATATAGAAAAAAAAATGGTTAGATACATTTAATTATACAATTTGTAATACTTTATTTTTTAATATTTTAATAATCCTAGAATAAGAAAATGAATTCATTTTTTCTAATAATTTTCCCTATGTAAGTTAACAACAGTGATTTCTGCTCACAGGTAGTCCGTTGTTTTTGAACATTTTTCCTGCTGAAATTAGGCAGGTACCCCATGTTGAAAATTAACTACAAAGTCTTTCTTTGCACACCTTTATGTGATATATGTCCAAAAGCACTATTATCGGAGTTTAGAGCTTCCTTTAGACTCTTGGTATCTTATATTTCAAGCTCATGGACACAAAAATGGAAATAAACATCGTTAATAAACTATCCGTCGTCAGTATAACAAATGTCCAGCTGAAGGCCACAAGTGCTTTCTCTTCTTTTGACGTATAAGATTTTGAACGATTTCTGCTTTGTATGAGTACAAACACGGGCCTGCTTATAAGGGGACGTAATTACTATCCACAGTATTTCCTACAGATTGTTGGAAGACGATGTCTCCAAAAACCTCATATTATAAATCAGAAACTCATAATTTTTAGAATGTCCATTGACAAGGGAAGTTAATTCAAGAGTTTCATTTTTATCAAATATTCTATGATTTTAAATTTTCCAAAAGTTTCTTGGAATTTTTAAGTATCAAAATCTGATAAACACCATCTCTCGAATATATTGTTGCACAGTACTCCTGAAATTTCTCCTTCAATACTGTTAATAAATTACCTTCCATATAAAACTTCTTTATCAGCTTCATAGTATTTGTTTATAGAATAAGATTTCTTTTAAGATGATTATTTTCGCATAACTGCTGAAGTTTTTCCTTCACTGCTTTTAATATTTCTTTAGAACAATGTCTAAGCTAGCTATGAATCTTTGTAAGAATTCTTTTGAGTTTTTAGGGTGATTCAATATCATTTTGCTTCTTGAGAATATCTAAAATTCTTTCGAATTGTTGTAGTATTTGAATATAAATTCTTAGATCAGTCGCAGTCGTGATTCGAACAAACAACCTTTCGATTACGGAGCGAGTGCTCAATTGAGAGGGATTAAACATGGCAGCAGGAGCCGGGGGGGGGGGCACGGGTGGTCGAGATTACGTAGTTTTTTAGTACATAGAAAACATCGATATTGAAGGCTTGTGCCCACTCAATTAAAACGTCTGATGACTCTTTATTTTAGATATATGGATCCCCCATTCCCCCAAACTGAAATCGTCTCCAACAGGCCTCAATACTCATACAATGATAACCAAGTTTCTCGAAAACAAATTTAATAAAAAATATTACAAAGAATTCCTTTATGTTGTACAAAAATGCATGCAGCAATATTTCCTAATCTGGTTGGACTCGTAAATGACGAAAATACAGAGCAGTATAACGTATAAAATTGGGAATAAAATGCTTTCACTATTGTCTGAAATATTAGTCATACTAATATGTTCTTTCAAAGGTCTCTGTGCATTATTTTTATAATCAGATGCTCTACAAATTCGACATTTATTTGAAACCCTAACTATCTGCTAAATGTGTTAATATTGGTTCACTATATGTCGCTATTGTACTAGTATCTATTGAACAGAAGGCCTTGTGGCCATGGTAATGTTTACACTAATTAGAATATCTAGAGAAGAAGAGCTTTGTAAAAAGAAACTTTAAAAAATGCATTCAATATTAAAAAGCAGATTTTTCTACCTTATCTGAAGCTCTACACACAGAGAATAATATTTTTTGTACCTACAAATAGTCATTTTTTTCTAAAGGTCATAAGAAATACGTTTGCCGAATTTTTCAGGACACAATCAAATTTTAAGAGCAATTTTGAAAACAACATGATATTATAAAACTAGTATTTAAAATTACTTTTTAGTTGGAATCCAGTCCTGAAATGTTCCAAAGATATATTTATGTTCGGATACCATTTTCCTTTCCAGTAATTCTATATGCAAAGAAGAATAGATATCTTGAAGTTCTTTTGGTCGCCTACAGAGATCAAGAAGGGTGGATCAAAGATATTTTAACTTATTGTTTGCATTGACAAACATTAAAAAATGTGAAAAGTGAGAAGTTTGAAACATCAAAACATTTGCACACGTCGTAACTAGTGACGTAAATATAATTTATAATGAGGATCTTAAATCGCTTATTTTAAAAGGACAACAATTAGGTAACCCCGATCTTTAATCTTATTTCATACTTTCATAAATATTATAACCTGATCCCACCTCTGATGTTTTGGAGGTTCGTGTTTGCTCTGCTCTTAATTTGTATTGTTTTATGGACTTTTGATCTTGAATACTGTTTGTTATCTCCATATGTTTTATTCATATAATATAATTACGCAAAGCGATGGGCAAAATATAAAAAAAATGACCTTGACCCGTTTCCAGAATACAATAAATGTATCAGATGTAATGTAATGTATCAGATTAATTAAAATTCTGTTGACATTTTTCATACTGATTATTAGGCCATCATTTACACATTGAATTGTCCAGGATTTTTTCCTTTCTTTCCCGGTTATAACAAGGAATGCTCGGAGAGTGTGACCGGTTGGCAGGGAATGCTCACTCCTCCATGGCACCTGATCCCACCTCTGATGTTTTAGATGTCCGTGATTGCTCTGCACCTATTTTGTGATATTTATTGTTATCTCCATATATTTCAGATAAATTCATAACTTACATACAGTTTTCTTGATAATGACAAGGAGCACACGGCAAATGTGACCGGTCGGCAGTGTATCCTCACTCCTCTATGGCAGCTTATTTCACCTCTGATGTTGTAGAGTTCCGCATTTGCTGTTGTCCTTATTTGTTTTTTTAATGGACTTGAATACTTTTCGTTGACTCTATATTCCATTTTTGATGTATAAACCCGTTGACGCAGCAAAGAGTATTTTTTATGACATTGCTTGATTTTTTACGCAATTTCACCTATATATAGATAAATGCTTTGTAACACTGAAAAGAAAAACCACGCCAATCGCATTAACAGCGCCCATGACAAAAGTCAATTTTTCAATATTTCGTTTAATTCTAAGAGGAGCAAAATCGTGTTTTTAAGCCTGGTAAAACACGCAATACCATTGTCAAGAAGTAATCGCATATTCAAGTTTTGTTTTCAAATATAATAAGAACTTCTTGCAAACATCATTTTTTTATTATGTTAACCCTATCTGATTTTCTATACAAAACACTTCTGTATTGCATTACATAAATATTGGCAACATACCTCAAAAATAAGCAATTTAGTTCCAATAAATCAAATCCACAATCATCAAGTTTCAGTCAAACTGAAACAACAGATGTTAAGGCAGATTAATCAGAAAATTCTCTCTTTTTATTCATTTCTTCATTAATTTAGTGCTATTTCTCCATTCCCCTGACTTTTTACATACATTTTTTTTTAATTTGCCTCTATTTTTGTCAGTGTTATTTATTTTGCTAATTCTGTTTTTCCTCAATATCATTACAAGCATGTCTTTGCAACGAATCAAGTTCCATTGAATTGCCATTGTCCTTCGTAGAGGTAGTTCCGCTACATTTCTTCACAAGGCACTGTGACTGAAACACCTCTCTAAATCTATGTCGAAAGTCTTTGTTGATAAATGCATACAAAAAAGGATTGACCATACTGTTAGAGTACATTAAGACTGTACATATGTGTAAAATCACTACTGTGTTTGCAACAGTTTTTGACATAAAGAACACGACAAAAACTATCTGGAAAATCCAATAAGGTAACCAGCAAATGATATACGACAAGATGATGGCCAAAACAAGGTATGTGATTTTTCTATGATATCTGAGCTGTTCCTTTGATCTCTGTCTTTTTGCTGGTCCGGCGCTTTTCATATGAATAATTACACAGGTATAAAATGTGGATATAAAACATAGTGGAATCGCAAACCCGAGAACAAAGATATAAATGATATATATTGGAACTTCTCTCACGTCCTGCCAATCCAACATACAGGAATCTTTTCCTTTCATGTGAGGATGGGGCATTCTTTTCGAATACAAAATTATAGGCATTGAGAGTAGAAGTGAAAAGATCCAAATAGAAATAATCACAAAAACTGATTTAAGTGGTTGTCTGTATTTATAAGCAACATCAGGTTTACATACTGCAATATAACGGTCCACACTTAAAGTGGTTAAGGTAAGAACGCTGGAAAAAGTGGTTATAGCTTGCGTTGTAAAGAAAATCCTACACATGATTTCACCAAACACCCAGTACTCGGTTATAGTTGTCGTCGTTACCATGGCAATATGAGATAAAAATATCAAATCTGACAAAGCCAAATTCAAAAGGTACATATTAGTTACAGTTCTCATCTTCGGTGATTTCAGTATAACATAAATAACTAAAGCATTTCCAAAAAGGCCGCATAATCCGATTAAAATATAAATCACAACAAGAATGGTGACATTAATTCCATCTGTGTCAATTCTGCCTAAACCGTCGTGAGTTGTGTTATTGACATCATACATCTTGCACAATCTCTATTTTCCGAAGATTATGTAGAGTTGAACAGGATACAGATAATTGAATTTTTATCAATGCAGACACCTAACACCCTGACAGCACAGACTTCAGCTGAAACTCGGTAACTGATACAGCTGTAATGATTGTAGTGCAGCGACGATCTGCTCCTATATACTTGCTGTGGGTCAATAGAAATTAAGATAAAACGGCAGAGTTACAAAGTTTTAGATGTTCGCCCAATATAAACTGAAATTTTATGCCATTGGTTGAATAATAAGTTTAATATCTCATTTCGATCTTCATTTTCAATATGGTCATTTATTGAACATGTTGAATGCTTCGTATTTATTAACAATCTCTAAATCTATCTCTTAACTGAGAAAAAAAACATTGGCTTATTTAGTGCTTTTTTGTTTCTCCTTTTGCTACATCACCAGAAGATGATTGTGCTTGTTAATGAAATCGTAAAAAATGTTGATGGAATTGTAAAAGTCATTTGATACACTTTTAAGTTTAATTAAGCCCATTTAATGCGTCCTTTTATACTTTGACAAATATTGTCAAATTATATTTACTTGAATGAAAACACAAAAGACCTTTAATTAAACAATACAAAAATTTGAGCAGAGCAATCACGGACCTCCAAAACATCATGGGCGGGATCAGGCGCCAGGAAGGAGTAAGCATCCCCTGCCGAATGCTCACAGCCGCTATGTGCTCCTTAATTGTCATGATCTGTAAATAACAGGAAAATTTTAGCGTGTAAATAATAGCCTAACAATTACATGGAAATCGTCAGTCAGCATTTGACTTAATAATGTATCCCACCTCTGATATTTTGGGGGTTCATATTTGCTCTACTCCTATGTTTTATTGTTAAATGGACTTTTGAGCTTGAAAACTGTTCTTCATTTCCATATATTTCATAAGCTAAAAAGATCATTGTTTCGCCAATAGTTATATGATTTTAAACAAAATTGCTGATAGCCTTGTTTAATCAACTCGTTTGTCAATAAGTAACCTCGATTTAGAAATTTAGAAATTGATCAGGTTAGAAGTTGAACGTCACAGGAAGTGTTATGCAGGTGATGAAGGTATATTGCTGCATGAGTAAGGGAAGTTGACGATTGCAAAGTTAAAGTCATCTTGTTTATCATAGAGCTTGGTTGTTAGATTTCCATAAAGGTCTTTTTGGTGTAAATTATACAAATATGAGACAGATGTGTCAGACCCGGTGGTATTTTTTATCTCAAGCTCACCAGAATGTATCGTATGGACATAAGAAAGGAAATTACCCTTGTTAATTGAAAAATTGATCATAATTGATCAAGCTCACCAGGATATATCGTATCGAAATAAGAATGCAAATTACCCTTGTTAATTGATAATACGTCGTCAGTATCTCTGTCGAGTTGAAGGCCACAGCAAGTGATTTCTTCTTTTCACGCATAAGATTTTTCACAAATTCTGCTTTATATGAATACAAAAATAGGTCTGCTAATAAGGCGGCGCAATTGGTACATATGAGAATTCCAATAGATTGTTGAAAGACCTGATCTCCAAAAACAACATAGATATTGTCAATCAGAAACTCAAGCAACTTTTAATGTCTAGTTCTTAGTACTTGCGTGTACAGTCAGATTGTTTTAACAAAATAATTTTGCATAGTGACCAGTGACAAAGTAAATTGATTTACCAGTTCCATTTTTGAAAAATCAGCTAACAATGATATCAAAAAGCCTGGACTTTAATTTATCCTGGGAAATGGTTGTGTATAAAGTTGAAAAGTCATAATTTTTTTAGGCTGTTGATTTTGTAAAAATCTCGTGATTTCAAATTGTCCAAAAGTTCCTTGAAATTTTTACGTATCCACATCTGATTTACACCACTTCTTGAATATATTGTTGCACAGTACTCTTTGAATTTCTCCTTAATTACTGTCATTACCTTAGTGAGGAGTAAACAAAGAGGCTTGGTTGAACATTTACTGGAACCCGCTATGTATCTTTGTTTGTAAGGATATTATGTTTCAGAATCCAATATATATGGTAGTTCAATTCATTATGGTTCTTTGGGATATTAAAAATATTCAAAACTGACATATGATTTTGAGGATATATTCATCTATTAAAACCAAGTTCAGTGTTTGTATGTAGAATCAAAATCATCCTAGTTAACAACGATATATAGTAGATGACCAATATATGGAAATTTCTGAGTTTAATTTTTATTAAGGAAACATTGTTAATGATGTCAAAAAGCTCTCTCTTGAATCAAAACTGACAAATGGTAATAAAAAGTAAAATATCATGTGTTTTGATAGAAGTGATGCTTAAAAAATTATAAAGTTAAAAAAAAAAAATTAAAAATCTGAAGACCTTTTAAAACCAAGATTTAATTCACATAATTTATTGAATCTTGAAGCAAATGTTTGTCTGCATTTTACTTACGTGTACATTTCTTAGATTCTTTGGGTTTTTAGGTTTGAAATTACGCATATCTATTCAATCCTGTTATGGTGACGTTTTCATATGATGACTTCGAGTAAAATATTTTTGTTTTTTAAGAACTTGATAACTTCGGAAATCTAGGCAAGTGTATTCAAAATTGCGCATTAAATATCGACTTAATTTACCTCAATCATAAAACTGAACTATTTTATCTGAGAAACCTTATAAAAATTCCACAAGGTTGATGATGGATTTAGTTTTAATTGCAAAAAGAATGCATTGAGTCTCGCTGACATGTAAAAAATGATTTTACTGCTCCCAAATTCTGGGAAACGTCTACCTTGACGTTATGATCTTTCGGCGAGTTTTTAACGAGAGATAAGGTTTTACTATTTCAAAACAAACATCTCCACTAGTGAACAAGACTCCCATGACCCACGTAAAGCCACTATATACGCAACTAAAACAGACATATTCCTCAATTCCAGTCCTAGGCATATTTTGATTGTCAACCTCATTTCGCATTGCCAGTGCGCATTGTCTTTTCGATACACTTCACATTTATTTTTCAAAACTTTTACAACTGACATATTCTTGGAAATGTACAGGTCATAAACAAGCCTTTTAAATCAATAAAGAAATGGATTCATCTTTTGTGTTACATATAATCATGCTTACTTTCAACTGTATTTAAAGAGAATAAATTAATACTGATATACATGATTTGTATTATGTCGTTTATTTTATCTCTTGAATGTAATTTTAAAGGAAGTTTTATTTTGGTACTCTCGTATTTATATTTCCCCTTTTGTCAACAAATACTTGATGATGTATTAATTGACTTAATTTGGCTTTCTTCAGCTCTCATTTTGACGTATAATTTATATGAAACAGATTTCCAAAAAAAATTCAGGTAGAGCGGAGAAGACAATAAAAATATTAAAAGTTGATAGACTTTAACTATATCTTATTGACAGCTATCTCCATGTAGCAGATGATTCTGCCCTCGTTAACTACGTTGCCTTAGGATCAGCTAGCTCATTATGCAGAATGACATGTGACACGAATCCTTTACCTTAAGCACTTGTAATTATGTTCCCCAAACGGAGTTTGGGAACATATTGTTTTTACTCTGTTTCTTATTATTATTATTAAGGTCTTCCGACTTCCTTCGGAAGACCTTATTGTTTTCCTTCTGTTTTTTATTATTATTATTATTATTAAGGTCTTCCGTCTTCAGCGGAAGACCTTCTTGTTATTCTTAGGTTTCTTTTTCACTTTTATTATTATTATTGTTTTTTTTTCTTACCGATTTTGTGCACGCGATTTCTCGAAAACGGCTGAATGGATTCCCATGAAACTTTCAGGACTTATGCAACATCACTTGAACCTTATGCGTTTTTTTCTGTTTTGATGACGTCACTTCCGGTCCGGAGTTATCAGCACTTTAATGATATTTTAAGGGTCAGTTTGTCCGCACGATTTCTCCTAAACGACTTTAGATAGACACGTGATACTCTCAGGTGTAGTAGACCTATGTCTGTAGATTTGTGGAATGTATTTTATTTTTACCGGAAGTGCTGCACGTCGGCGCTCGGTATGGCCCGAAAATAGGCCTATCGCGAATTTCAAAATTTTTAGCACTGTTTCTACGATATCTTTTAACCTGGAAATATTTTGTTAAAACATATAGAACAAAAAAAGTGTAGAATTTTAAGTTCTTCCAAATGATATCTCGAAAAGAGGGCTGGCCCTTAAAATTAGGGGCCTACAGGGGCCGAAAGTTTTTCCTTTATATCTCAAAAAGTATTGAGAATTTGTAATACGTCTATGAAGCAAAGTTGTTCAAAATCTCAAGCTTAATCTAATGCAGTCGTCAAAATACCTCCGTCGACGTCATTTCCGGCCGAACCGGAAGTAGTCGAGAAACGCGTATTTTTACCGTTCTTGAAAAATTTTTGGGTAACATCTGTCACTGGGAGCATAAAAATTAATTTTCTGTCCGTCGTCGACACTTCCGGTCACACCGGAAGTAGCATAAACTTCCGGTCAAACAGGACGGAAGACCTACTCGTTGCTTTGCAACGAGCTTTGCTCTAGTTATTATTATTGTTTTTTTTTCTTACCGATTTTGTGCATGTGAGTTCTCGGAAACGGCTGGCCTGATTTTCGTGAAACTTTCAGGACTGATAGAACATGAAACAAACTTGATATATAATTTTTTGTTTTGATGAAGTCACTTCCGGTTTTGAGTTTTTGACGATTTAGTGATTTTCAGGGGGTCAGTTTGTCCGCGAGTTTCCTCAAAAACGGCTTAGGATAGAAACTTGAGTTTTTGAGCAATGATAGAGCAATGTATGTAGATGTGACATACGCATTTCATTTTCACCGGAAGTGCTGCACACCGACGCTCGCTATTGTCCGAAAAAGGGCATGTCGAGAATTTAAAATTTCTAACACCTTTTCTTCGATATCTTTTTACCTACAAATATTTTGTTAAGACATATAGAACAAAAGAAGTGTAGAATTCCAAGATCTTTCAAATCATACCTCGTGAAAAGGGCCCTGATGGGCCGAAAGTTTTTTTCTTTATATCTCAAAAAGTATTGAGAATTTGTAATACGTCAAAGAAGCAAAGTTGTTTAAAATTTCAAGCTTTATCTAATGCAGTCGTCAAAAAACGTCCGGC